CCTCACTGCCTACTTGCAGTGTACAGGGAGTGTTGGGGAAATACAGCATCCGTTGAAACTGGAGGGGTCGGCAAGGGATGAATGCAGGGGATGTCGGCCATGGTGAGGGACTCAGACATTTCCTGAGGGCACTGGGGAGCCACAGAGGCTTTCAGCAGGGGAGGGACATGGTCAGATCTAGGTGGTATATCCAAGTGAGGAAACCAGGAAGCACCAGCAGAGGGGGCCCCAGTGACAGGGGCCCAGGACCCCGGGTCCAGCTCCAAGCCCACTGCTCAGGCCTGCCTCGATTTCCTCTGAAGTGAAATGGACTTTGGAGTGACACGGGGGAGCCATTGGCCCACCCTGCAGCGTCCTTTCTTCAGGCCTGAGCTTGGGGTCTGGTGGGGGTCCTGGCTGTGCTCCTCACCCCTCCCGTCCCCCCTCACAGGGCTTCACCCCCATGACGGTGCCAGACCTTCTCCGAGGAGCTGTGTTTGTGAGTGAGGACTCTGTTCCCCATGCCCAGCCGTGTGTCAGGCCCCATTCTGAGGGTTCCAGGTGGAGAGACCAGCCTGTCTCCCCCGAGGAACCTGCCCTGGGGCTGCGTTGAGGGGGTCAAGCCATAACAGGGAGCTCAGGGTGATTCCAGATGCTTTTAGGGGAGGAGCAGGGGTTGTGACTGCAGAATGGGGGCCACCCAGGTTACCTGACTCCTGACCTCTGTGGCCTGGCCTCCTCCCCAGGAAGGCTGTGGGATGACACCAAATGCCAAACCATCCCAAATTTACAACATCGACCCCTCCCGCTTTGAAGACCTCAACCTGGCCGGGACAGCAGAGGTGGGACTTGCAGGTGAGTTCCTACCTGGGCGCAAGAGTGGGGTGAGGACACCTCCAGTGTCCTCAGAGCAGGAGGGGATCGAAAGGGGACAGCCAGGAGCCTCCTGGCGGGTGATGGCTGCACGCCCAGGATATCTCAGCGACCCCAGGGCCTACGTGTACAGTTGTGTAGGTTGTTTACTGCACAGTGGTTCGGTGAGGATCCAGCCACATGTCCTGACTTGAGGTTGCGTCTGCTAGAGGGGACGCCTTTTCCAATTCTCACAAAGGTTTCCTATGGCTGGATGGATGGTGGCCTTGGCTGACCCATTCTGTCCCCTTCTCCTCCCAGGCTACTTCATGGACCACTCTGTGGCCTTCAGGGATCTGCCAATCAGGTGATGCCCAGTTCCTTTAGACCTTGTCCCCACCAGTGACATTCCCTCTCCTCTCCCTGACTCCACCTACCCTGCTCCCCCCAGGATGGTTTGTTCCAGTACCTGCTACCGGGCGGAAACAGACACGGGGAAGGAGCCGTGGGGGCTGTATCGAGTGCACCACTTCACCAAGGTTGGCATAGCTAGGACTGGCAACAGCCCAGCGCCCCAGCCCGTCAAACCCAACAGCCTAGCGCCTCCTGACTCCTGTGCCCCCCACCCTGCCCCAGGTGGAGATGTTTGGGGTGACAGGCCCTGGGCTGGAGCAGAGCTCGCAGCTGCTGGAGGAGTTCCTGTCCCTTCAGATGGAGATCTTGACAGAGCTGGGCTTGCACTTCCGGTGCGGGGAGGGGCCGGGGGCTGAGGTGGGTGGCAGAGGATGGGGGTGAGGGAGGAGGGAGGGAAGGGCTGGCTAGGTGCTCCCCCATCTTGAAAATCCTCACCACCTCTTCTCCCTCTGCCCCCTTTTGCCTGTGTTATGATTATATATAGGATGTCCGTCTACCTATCAGTCTATAAAATCCCGCATAGGATCGTAATGGCCGCATAAGCTGCGCAGGGCACTCCAGTGTCCAGACCAGGCCCCTTCCCTCCTGTTGCTCCCCATCCCTAGGGTGCTGCCTCATCTGCGTGGTCCAGGATGGCTCTTCACCCTCCAGGGGGCGAGGGCACACCCCTTCCCTTTAAGGGGGTGACTGGACGTCACAAGCCCCACCTCCTCGCACCCTGTCAGTCACACGGAGCTTTCAAGAGAAGCTGGGAAGGGTGGACTTTTATCTGGGTGACCCATTACAAAAACCTGAGGGTGCTCCTGTTACAGAAGGAAGCACGGCGATGGTGAACAGCCCACTCGGCCACCTCTTCCCCTTTGCCACTGTCCTCTACTTTATCCCTTGCATTTCCCTCTTTTGGCTGCCTCCTCTTCCATCGCCTCCCCTTGCCCCTGCCCCGCTCCTCCACCACCTCTCACCTGCTGGCCCTTGCCATGTCTTTCTCCTGGGCTGCAGGGTCCTGGACATGCCCACCCAGGAGCTGGGCCTGCCCGCCTACCGCAAGTTTGACATCGAGGCCTGGATGCCGGGCCGAGGCCGCTTTGGCGAGGTGAGCCCCCTGCCCGGCGGGGCGACAGGGTGGGAAAGAGGACCCCACCGCCGCCGACGGCCCATCGTCTCAGCCCACCCCACCCCCATGCCCAGGTCACCAGTGCTTCCAACTGCACGGACTTCCAGAGCCGCCGCCTCCACATCATGGTCCAGACGGAGGCCGGGGAGCTGCAGTTCGCCCACACGGTGAGCCACACACCCTCGCCCACCCTCCCCAGTGCCCCGGCGCCCCGGGCCCACCACCTCAGCCCCTCCCTGGGCCGGCCGGCAGCTGGGTCTGAGCGTGCCCCTCTCGCAGGTGAACGCCACAGCCTGTGCTGTCCCCCGCCTCCTCATTGCGCTCCTGGAGAGCAATCAGCAAAAGGTGAGAGGGCAGCGGGAGGATCTCACGCAGGGAGGCGGAGGCTGCAGGGCTGGCAGGGCAGCCGCCTGAGGCCTGCTCTCTCCCCAGGACGGCTCGGTGCTCGTGCCCCCTGTCCTCCAGCCCTACCTCAGCACCGATCGGATCACGACCCCCACCCACGTGCCTCTCCAGTACATCGGCCCCAACCAGCCCCAGAAGCCCAGGCTCCCGGGCCAGCCTGCCTCGAGCTGAGGACTCGTCCTCATTGGCCAGTAGGGTTGTCGCTGTTTCCTGGAGCTTAGGGGGTCGCTGGGCCCCTGGGACCTGTTGTCCTGAGCCATCCTGACATTTGCCTTCCTCATGTCAGCTCCCTGCCTGGGCCCCTGGACTCCAGGGTCCACCACTCCTGTGCCCCTACTTCCTCAGGATCAGTCAGTGACCCTGTTGTCGTTGGAGCTCCCAGCCTGTGCTGGGAAGCAGTGTTTCCTCCAGGGGACTTGGAGGTTCTAGGGATGGGGGAAGGCCTCCATCCCTCCTTCCTTCTTCCCGCCCTCAGTGCTTAAGAGAAATCCCCCAATAAATAGTGGAACAAAGGCCTTTGTGGGTCTATGAGTTAGGGGGGTGACCTGGCCAACCTGCTAGGGATGCTGGGCTATTGCTCAGAGGTGCTGAATCCTCAGGGGGTCTGTGGCTGCAGGAACCAAGCCAGAAGTGTCCAGCGTCCCCAGGGCACGTGGAGGGTAGCTTGGGGGCCACTGAGGGAATTGAGAGGATGCCGAGGCCTCTCCCCTGACTCTGGGACAAGTGGCACCTCACGTCCAACCTCCCCCCTCATTCCCCAGCTCCGGGTGGGGTCCAGGAAGCAGCCCAAACTCGGTGAAGCCAGAACTCACTCCTCCCCTAAGTGCCCCTGTCTCAGTACCTGGAACTGCTCTCCCAGCTCCTCAGGCCGCAGCCCTGAGAGTCATCCTCGACTGTTCTCTCCTCTCCACATCCACATCCCATCCTTCAGCAAACCCCGGCAGCTCCTCCTTCAAAATATTTCCAGAACCCTCCTTTGCCCTCTCGTCCCTGGCCCCTCCCTGGGCCTGTCCACTGATATCTCCCATTTGGAGAGTCGCGGCAGTCTGTCGGCCGTCTTCCTGCTCCCTGTCCCCCGCACAAAGCCAGAGGGACCCTGTGGACACCTGCGTTGGGTCACATCCCTCCCTGCTCAGGGCCCTCCCGTGGATCCGTCTCACTCAGGGGAACGGGCAAGCTGTCACCATGGTCCACGGGGCCCCACGTGACCTGCCCCCCACCTTCCTCTTCAACCAGCCTCTTCCCTGTCGTGCTCTGGCCACCCCCCAACCTGCCTTGCTGTTCTCATCCTCAGACTTATTCCCAGCTCAGGCCTCTGCACTTGCTAGACCGCTCCCTGGCTACTCTTCCCTAGATCTTGTGTGATTGCTTGCATTTTGTCACTCAGGCCTTAGCCCAGATGTCACCTCCTCCGAGAGGACTTCCCTGACCAGCATGGCCAAAGTAGAAACCCCAGCACTCAGCATCTATGCCGCTGTGCTGCGCTGCGCCGCAGCCTCCTTCCTTGAGTGTTGTCTTTCCCCATTCTCAGATGTCTGCTGCAAGAGGCCAGGGAAGTTTGCCAGTAGCCCCATTCATTGTTGTAGCACCAGGGTCTAGAAGAGGACTGGGCATGTAATGGGTGCTCAATAAAAATGACTGGGATGAAGGAGCTCGGACCTGTGTAGTTTGCAGTGCCAGGCACTGCCCAAGCTAACATGTGCATTAACTGATTTAATCTTCCCCATCAAGCTGTGGAGTAGGTTGTCACCAGCCCTATTTCACAAGTGAGGAACAGGTCTTAGATTAAGCAGTTGTCCCAGGGCTGCACAGCTGGTAGTGGAGGAGCTGGGACTCAGGTGGGGCCCAGATACAGCTCTGAGGAAGTAGATTTATGAGACCCACTTTCCAGAGGAGAAAATGGGCCAAGGAAAGGAAGGAGTTGCCTAAGGTTGGTCTGTAAGTGGCTGCCTCTGGATTCAAACCCAGGTCCCGCCTCCCAGTGGGGCCTTAAGCTCATCAGACCCTGTTTCCCTGGGCAGAGAATCCCCACCCCCACCCCCGCGCTGGAGCTCAGGGGCTGGAAGCTGGAGGGGAGGGTGCAGGGAGTGGGCCCCCATGAATAATTGAGGGCCTCAGGCGGGTCTCCGCCCCGCAGCTGTTGCCCTCCATCTGGCGGGGAGCGGGTGGTGGTGACGTCACTTCCTCCCGTGGGGGCCACTGGGGGCGCGGGTTATAAGGAGCTGCCTCCCCGGCCGCACGGTGCGAGGACCCTGGTCCGGATGCCCCGCCATGCAGCGCCGCGAGCCCACCGTGCCGCTCTTGCTACTGCTGCTGCCTCCTCTGCTGGCGCTGCTGCTCGGGGCGGGTGAGCGCCTGAGACCAGGGCGACCCCCCCGGCCAGCCTGGGGAGCGGGGGACTCGGGTGACCGGGGGCGGGGATGGCGCACCCAGCGGGGCCAGACTAGAGCTTTCACGGGCTGAGCTTCCAGGTGGAGACGGCGCACCTGGCAGGGGGGCTGGGGGAGGGGACTTGTGGGTACCGGGACGACCTCGGAGCTGGAATCAGCACCCGGGACAGCGCCCGGAGTACGAGCCCAGCGCCCCCGTCCTTCCTCCACAGCCACCGCGGCTCCCCTGGCACCGCGACCCTCCAAGGAGGAGGTGAGGACTGCGGCCCTCTTGCCCTGCCTCATCTCCCTGGGGCCCTGGTCCCCCCTGCCCAGCCCCCTCCACGATCTTTTGTCTCCCCTCCAACCCTCCCACTGTTCTCATGCCCCCCATCTGCCCTACCCTCAACCTCCCCTCTGACCCTTCACCCCCAGCTGACCCGCTGTCTGGCAGAGGTGGTCACAGAAGTGCTGATGCTGGGCCAGGCCAAGCGAGGCCCCTGCATGGCTCTGCTCCACAAAGGTAAGGAGGGCCCAGGCCCCAGTTCCTCTTAGGAGCTCCCACCCCACCAGGGCTGCCTGGAGGAAGGGGTGTCCTCTTCTCATCCTAGAGCCATTGTCTGGGCTGGCCCGGCATTGTCAAGTGTGTCCAGACTGAAGGAGCCTGGCCCCTAGCCCCACCCTCGGGGCTCCCTGCAAGGGTACAGGATGGGGGCAGAGAGTGTCTCCCAGCACCTGACTCTCCCCTCCCAGGTCTGGGCAGTGCCCCTGTGGGACCTCGGGCAGCCCCAGAACTCCTCTAGGGCTGTTTTCTGTTTGGCTGCACAGAGAACATTCTCTCTTTCCTCTAGAAATGTGTGAGACAGAGTCCTGCGGCTGTGGGTCCACTGAAGAGAAAGGCCTCCTGGTTGGGGATTTTAAAAAGCCAGAGGCTGGGAAGACAAGGTCCAGCCAGGAGGTGAGGGACGAGGAAGAGGAGGCAGCAGAAAGGACCCACAAGGCCGAAGTGCGGGAACAGGCCATCCGCGGGCAGCTCCACGGCCAGCTGCGCCAGGAGGACCACAGAAAGGAGGAGGAAAAGGAGAGGGGGCCCGTGGAGACCATTGAGGGCCCGTGGAAGCGGGTGGCAGAGCAGACCAGCGATGAGGAGACGGCCCAGTTCGAGGCAGAGGAGAAGGGGGTGCAGGTGCTGGGCAGGGGCCACAGCCTGTGGCCGGGGGCCGAGGCGGGTGGAGAGAGGCACGAGGACCGCCACCACCTCCACCAGGCAGAAGCTGAGCCCAAGCAGGAGAAGAGAAAGGCTTCGGACAGGGAGGTGAGTGGAGGAGGCAAGGGGGGAGTGGGGTGGAGCAGATGTCCGTGGACTTCCTACCGAACAGCCACCGGTGTTGGGCCATAAACAGCAAGGTCCACCACAAACGGGCCGTAGTGACCAGGACTGACACGAGGACTAGGCAGCAACATCTAAGTGGGGCCTTCACTTGACCAGGAGGGCTTCCGTACTTCCATTGCAGTAACCAAGAGGCCACCATTACCACACAGAAGTGCCCGAGTTAGCCACCACTGCTAGCCTGTGACCAGCAAGCTGGCCACCATGAGAAGTAGCTGCCGCGGCTGGTTCACTGGGCTCTAGATGGACACCACTGCTGGGTCATGAGAAGCAAAGGTGGTGGCAGTGACCGAAATGGCCATCACCTCACAAATGGGTCACAGCATCCCAGCGGAGCGCCTTTGCTAGTCCTCTGTCTGCCGCTGTTGGCTATGGCACACACCACAGGCCTCACCGCTGGCCACGTTAGCTGCCGTGACCCTTCCAGGGTTGCAGCAACCAGCAGGGCGACCATCGCGGCCCACAATGACCAGGATGACCACTGCTGGTTGCCACTAAGTGAACTGACCTGGCCCACATTCATGGGCAACCACTGAGGTGGCCTGCCTTTGAAGGTGGGTGCTGAGCACCCCACTTCTGATCCCCCCAGGAGCATGACGTGGAACGGCTGGAGCACACGAGAGATGAGCTGAAGAAGGCGACGGAGATGCTGGGAGAGGAGCTCAGGAGGGTGGGCTGACCCCTGACCTCGTGTCCTCCTTCCTCACACACCCTACGGCTTAGGACTGTTGACACCCAAACCCTTCCAGTCCGTCACCCCATTCTGCTCCCCAACCTGCAGGAGTGGGGAGAAGGGTGCGCCTTGAAACCAGGCCTGAGGGGCCAAGTCTGAGCTGGGTAGAGGGGCTGGGCTCAGACTGACTCAGGAAACAGCCCTGACACCCGTCTAACGCAGTCCAACCCGCCCGAGTGAATAAAGCACAAAGAAAACCACCAAGGCTTATCGTGTAGCACTTGATTTTAGAGGGACAGGAGCTGAGGAGTGGGCGGGAGGCCTGGGAAGGAGACTGTTGTCAGAACTGGGATTTTTTTATTAAATTGGAAACTCTATTCACAATTAAGTCAGATGGGGTCATCAGGGAGCGGTTTCGAGGCTGGGGTGGGAGGTAGCTGGTTTGGGCTCCGGCCACTGTGGACCACGATGTCGTCATATTCATCCTGGGGGCAGAGGGGGCCAGGCAGAGGGGCTCAGGTGGCTGCCACCTTGCCCGCTGCCCAAGTTCTCCCACCCACCCTGAGAACCGGGTGCTGCCTTGAAGCCCAAGTTCCCCGCTCCCAGTTCAACTTCCCTGCTTCTAGTTCTCTAAGCACCACTTTCCAGGTCACCTGTGTTCTCCCAGCACTACTGCCTGGGCTCCAGCCCTGCTGCCTCTCCAGCCCTTCAGCCGCCGCAGCCTGAGGTCTCCCCCTCCGCCCCTTCCCTCTGCCTCTACCCAAATTCCTCAACCCCCACCGTTCAACGACAGCCCCTGCCCCCAGCAGTGTCTCTGCTGCCTGGGTTCTCCAATGAAGCCTCCTCACCGCTGGCTTAGGTCTTTCCCCACCGCTGCCCGTGTTTGAATCACTGCTGCCCAAGGTCATCTTCCCACAGCCTAAATTCTCCAGCTCTTGCTCCCACAAAACAACTCCCCACGCTGCCACCCTCTGCTGCCTATGTTTACCAACCACTAGGACCAAGGTCTTTCCTCTCCCTCTGCCTGAGTTCTACCTCTGCCACTGCCTGAGTTCTCCCCGCCACCTCTGTCCAGGTCTCCCCTGATCACTGTCTGGTGTCACTTTCACTGCTGCCTGAGTTCTCTAATCACAGCAGCCCAACGTCAGTCTCAACGTGCTGCCTAATTTCTCTTCTCCCCCTTCCGCCTGCCCGTTTACTCTGACCCCCAAGCTGGGCCACCCAGTCTTTCCTCCTGACTCACGCCCTCGTCCCCGCTGTCGCTGTCGCTACTGCTGCTGCAGGGGCCGGGCTTGTCCTCGTCCTCGGGCTCAGGGGCTCCGTGTGCACGGAGGAGGCGGGCGAGGATGGGGTTGGTCCGGAGCATGGCGCTGCCGAGTGGGGTGCGGCCACCGTACATGCGGGTGGCGGGGTTGGCACCGGCCTTCAGGAGAAGTTCCAGCACATCGGCTGCCTGGGCCTCCACTGCCAAGTGCAAGGGGCTGCGGCCACATGTGGGCTCCTGTGCGGTGCAGCAGAGAGGTTAGAGGAGACCCTGCCCCGCTCGGGGACGATCTCCACCCTGCCACGCCTTCTCCCTAGGGCAGCTCACCGGTTTGTTGAGGTCAGCTCCGGCCTCCCAGAGCAGTCGGACCATCTCCGCGTCTTTGTGGATGACAGCCACATGGAGTGGGGTGTGGCCTGGGGACAGAGTGACCTATGTCAGATGATGGGGGGGTGGGCCTGGGCCCCCAATGCCACGATCCTAGGGGATGGTTTTGTGGCCTGAGGGTGATGGAGTTTGGGGTCTGGCTCCTGAATGCCTGGGTGTATCAAAGAGGCTCCTGCATCCCAAATGCCTAAGTCTCAGGTGGTCTGGAACTTGCTGGTAGTGCCAATGCCTGGGTTGTGGGATGTCTGGGGCCCATGCGTGAAGAGCCCAGGGGCTTTGGACAGGAGGCCTGGATCTTGGGGCTAGGAGACCTGAGTCTCTGGTCTTACTTCACAAAGAACCAGGACCCCAAATTCCTGGGTCCTGAGTAGTTGAAGGGCCTATGACCTTGGGGGGTGGGGTGGGCCCTGAACACTGGGTCCCGCCCTTCTACCTGTGGAGGGGCCTGGTCCCAAGTAGTTGGGTGGGCTTAGAGACGGGGGAGGTGAGACTCAGATGCTAGGGCCCTGGGTAGACAAGGTCTATTTTCCCATGAGGCCTGGCTGAGGAGGGCTGTCCCTGAACTCCAATGTCAACCTCTGGGAACCTGGGCTGCCAGAGTTTCCCAGAGGGCTTGGCGCTTGAGTTCCCTTGTCCTGGGTGGCCTGGGGCTTGTGGTTCTCAATAAGCTGGGACCTGAGCAGGAGTCCTTGGGCCTGATGCCTGGGTTCCCTAAAGCCTCGGTATTATTTCCCAAGGGGCCAGGCTTTGAGTCAGGAGAGCCGAGCCCAGAGCCAGGCACCCTTACCCTGCCTGGGAGCCCGGGCCCTTCCCAGTGACAGAGGACACTCACCCTCATAGTTTTCAGCCTCCAGCTGCAGTTTCCAGTCCTCTTCACTCTCATCCTCTTCCTTCTCCAGGTCAGGTTCAGGGTACAAGGCAACAGAGGTGTGGTTGGTGTCAGGGGTGTGGTCAGAGCCCTGAGCGAGGTAGGTGTTGGGGACTCCCCTGGGGCACCGGGGGCGGGGCTGGAGCAGCACACGAGCGCAGGCGTGTGCCCCGACGCGGCAGGCCAGGTGCAGCGCCGTGTGGCCCCCACGCTCCGCCACCAGCAAGCTGGCACCCGCTGCATACAGCTTCTCCACCGTGGATGCCTCTTCCAGGATGGCTGCCAGATGCAGGGCTGTCTGCAGGAGCAGAAGGCAGGGGTTAGGGGGTCACACAGAGAAGCCTGGCCCCCAAGCCCTACGGTGCCTACGGGTGGCTCACCTGGCCCAGGTCATTCTGCAGGTACAGGTACTCAGTACCAGCGGCGAATCCTAGGAGGAAGTCCAGGAAGGGCTCGTGCTGGTGAATCACGGCCAAGTGCAGGGCCCTGAGGACAAGGACGGGGTCAGAAGGCAGAGGTCTGGCACTCTCTTTTTAGTTTGCTTGGGTGTTTGTTTTTTTTTTTTTTTGGTTTGTTTGTTTTACTTCTTATGAGGTCACGTACTCTAGCGTGCGTTCATTCAACAAACGTGGAGCACCTGCTGGGTGCTAGGCATCCTGACCACAGTTCTGGAACCAGCTGTCAGGAACCTGGGAGGGTCAGGTCAGAGTTAATTCAGCAAATTTGTTTAATCAATGTTTTGGTTTGGTTTGGTTTGGGGGTTTTGTGGCTACACCGCACGGCATGTGGGATCTTAGCTCCCTGACCAGGGATAGAACCCGAGCCCCCTACAGTGGAAGCGTGGAGTCTTAATCACTGGACCAGCAGGGAAGTCTCCAGTGTTTATTAAGTAGGACTTCTACTCCCTCCCAAGATGAAGTAACATGGACCAGATTTCACTCCCATCTCCAACCAACCAAAAAAAACCAGACATAATACAGTATATGAAACAACAGTTCCCAAGATACTGGACATCATGCAATGAATGACAGCAATTCTAGGGAAACAGGCAGCACAGTCGATGAGCCCTTCAGTTGACTGCCACAGCTTTCTGTCTTGAGAGTTTCCACGCCATGATGCAGAAAGGGGAACGCAGGCAGATTTGCCTGAGGTGAGGAGACAGAGCTGAGTCTCAGGAGAGCAAGGCAGCTGGAGTCACAGGACAGGGAACCAGAGAGGAGACAGCTGCCCAGGGATCGCAGAGGGGCCTCTTGAGTATTTAGAAGAATACTGGTCAGTGCAAGGGTGTAAGGAAACTACCCCAGGCTGGGGGAAAACCATCCAAAAGGATTAGAGAGATATGCCTGGTGCTCACACAGGGCCGGGACTAGGACAAACCCACAATTCACAGGATATTGGGTAGAATGCTCCGGAAGGTCTTACTTCATCAGTAATGAGGAATAATGAGCCCCAGATTAGGTGGGTGCTCAGGACCCACCTAACAAATCATAAAAGCAAAACCCCAAAGGATCAAACTACTTACAAGTAATTTAACCGCATCCCAGAACAATATTTAAGAGTATTTATAGGAATACAAAGCTAGCTAGCCTGACAAGGTAAAAATTACAATGTCTGGCATCTAATCGAAGATTAGATGGTTAAGAATCCGCCTGCCAAAGAAGCAGGAAAGCATGATCCATAGTGAGAATAATCAACACTGGACATTGACCCAGAAATGACTCAGACGGCAGAATTAGCAAACGAGAACATTCAAACTGTATCTTATACATTCAACAAGTTAAGTAGAGACATGGATAAAAAAAAGAAAAAAAAAAGGACTCAAACTGAACTCCTAGAGATAAAAACTACAGCACCTGAAATGAAAAAGACACTGGATGGAATTAACAACAGATTACACACTACCAAAAAAAAAAGATTAGCAAACCTGAGGACTTCACAATAGCAACTCTCCAGAATGAAACACAGAGAACACTTAAGAACGGAAAGGACATCAGTGAGCCGTGGGCCAACTTCAAGCGGCCCAGTCTATCCGTAACAAGTTCCTAAAGGAGCAGGGGGATAGAAAAAACGTTTGAAGAAATAATGTCTAGAAAGTTTTCCGAATCTGATGGAAACTATAAACCCACGGCTCCAAGAAGCTCTATGACTCCTGAGCACAAGAAATATGAAGTATACCGAGGCCCCACATGAAAAACCTGTTCAAAATCAACAACTAAGATAAATATCTTCGGAGCAGCCAGAGGAAAAGATACCTTAAGTATAAAGGAATAAAAGTAAGCACGACAGCAGGTTTCACAAAGGAAATAATACAGGAGAACACGATGGGGGCCACATCTTTAAAGTACTCAAAGACAGACTGTCAACCTAGAATTCTTTAACCCAGCAAAAATATCTCTCAAAAATGGAGACAAAATACAGCTGCTTTCAACTATACAAAAGGAACTCATCACCAGCAGACCCACATCACAAGAAATGTTCAAGGAAACCTGTAAGCAAAAGGAAAATGACGTCAAACGAAAATATGGATCTATACAACAGAATAAAGAACACTGAAAACAGTAACTATACGGGTAAGTACATAAGATTTTCTTTCTTAATATGTAAATTTCTTTAGAAGATAATTTTTTAAAAAGAACTGACTGTTTAAGCAAAAATTATAACAGTGTCTGGTGGAGTTTATAACACATGTATAAGTGAAATGTACGACAGCAATACAACAAAGGCCAGGAAGAGACAAATGGAAATA